GAACGGCAATGAACATAAATCTACTTACCAGGGCTTGTCGGGATATCCTCTTCTGTCGTTTACCTTATAGATATATAACAAATCCCGTTTATCAAAATACTCTTTGAACGAGACGACGGCCTCAAAGTTATGGCCAAACGGCTCAATTTCTCTTAACCTTCTGCTTTATATTAGACATACGTTTTTTGTCGATGATGGCAGCGGCTTCTTTCTCAACCTCGTCCCAGTCCATTTCTCGCTGAAAGGCGGAAAGAACAAAGGTAGACTGTATTTCACAATGCTTTATATTTGGGTTGTCCCTGATCAGTTGTTCGACAGTCTTGATGTCTTTTTTTTTTCTGTATCGAGGTAACAGGACATGTGTTTTCCCCAATGTGATAGACGGTAACCTTACTTATTTTTTCCGGAACTTAGGTACCTACGTGCAGCGCAAGGTACAAACTCGCCTTCACTGCCGCATCCTTTGCACACCTGTTTCCCGTAAAGCTTTTTTTCGAACTGAGTGGTGTTGGTTACCCCGAACTGCATCTTAACCTTCTGCTTTATATTAGACATGTTCTTTATATTAGACTTTATATTAGACGTGTTCCTTGGTGCACTTAACAGAACCTTTACAGTCCGCAAATCGTGTGCGAGTATGCCCCCTCCAGAAAGTAGGGCAGGTTTTCTTCCATTTTCTTCCGTCTTGAAGCAATTCAAGTTTATCGGGTACGAATCCCTTAATCTCGTAAATGGTTAAGCCGTCGATTCCGACTGGCAACCGTCCCACTGATTGCCTCTCGACATTTTCCCATGTATCAAAGGATATCTTGCGCTGTTTTTTCTTCGTTTTATTATTTTTATCGTCTTGGGACGACGACGAACCTTCCTAAAGAGATTCCACGTCACTCTCCAACTCACTCTTTTCCATAGTCCTTGCCTTCGATTTCCTGCAAAAAGAGATCTATTTTAAAATACTAATTAAAAAAAGTGATGCGAATAAATATAAAGACAGACAAAATTCCCCAGTGTTTCGAACCTTTTTATCCTTTTAATTAAGGATAAAAAAAAATCAAAATATCAATACAAAATATCAATACAAATTCACGCTGATCCCTATCAGGGCGTAAAGGGTTCTGTGCGTGATTTAAAATGAAAAACAACATTCAGAATATGAGACCATAAAGTAAGAATCCCCCAGAGCAGGTATTTTAGATGTTTTAAGATCCAAAAAATATCTTAAACTTTTAAAAAAGTTTTGGTACATGTAAACAAAATACTCGACTTGAGATCCTTTTGCCTAAGAATTATCAAGCATAGAGCAAGTTCAGTATTAGTATTCCATAATACAAACTTAATACCCAGTTCTGGTCGCAATTTATATTATTACGACAGACTTAAATTGTTTTACCTTCGAATGAAGAAAGTAGTGGCTTGGTTCAATTGATCGTCGGTGTCAATGTCAGTGTAAAGGACTTCATGAACGTCTTTCCCACGAGTTGCACCAGAACTGAGAGTGAATGTAACAAAGGGACCAGCAAATCAACTTCAGTTGAGGAATAAATGAGCTCAGTTGTCAATTAAATGCTAAGAATTTAGAAATAAAAACAAGGGTAACATTTCAACACTTTCCTGTGGTCACAGCCACTGGCTTATTCGTTCAAAATCACGAAGAATGGAACTTTCAGATAATAAAAAGCCTAACAACTCTTCGGTATTCATTCGGTGTTTGGTGTGTGTATGGTCATAACNAAGCTTGCGCTAAGATTCTCATGAAATGAACTTATGCTAATTTTTAAAGGACATTTTTGCATGAGAAACTGCGGGTTTCATAATAACAGTGGGCTGGAACCTCTGCATACACTGTGCCTCCGAAAGGATGTTATCGTGTTTAGTTCTGGAAAAATAGTTATTTAATTGCAACCTGCCTTTTCTTAATTCAAAATTTGGAGGAAACACAAATTATTGCATTAATCTTTTAAATTAAAGCCTACTCTAGAAGACTCCCTATGGGCGTAAAATGACAACTAGTAGAATGACAATTATCACTATTCAGGTGGACGCATCTTACGGAAGATAAAATAAAAGAGTTTGCAGGAGCTGTTTTTTCTTGCATGAAATAAAGAAAAGTAATAATGGTCTAAGGTTTCAAGGATACAATTAAAATTGTAAAGCCATTGGTCACAGGGTTTTTTTCCCCTTTTATTATATTTTTTGTTTTATTTCAATTATTCTTCTGTTTTTTACTTCTTTAGTACATGCCAGAGACACATTTTGTCACGCACAGTTAAAATTCACCTGCCGAAATAATCAGCGGTTTTTTTAAGTGATCTAAAATTTCCTGTTTTAATTGGGCTGAAGTGTCTGATATGAAAAGTTATGCTTATGGCTTGTTTTAAGAACCAATCCCTCCAAAATATGCTTTCTTCTGCTTCTAATGAAAAGCGTAAAGACGTCTCAATATGCACACACTCGTGTTTCACCCGGAAAATTCTACTGAAAGATCCATATATACCATGTCAGGTACGGCAGAATGTTACATAAGGATAGCAGCTTCAAAGATTCCTGTTCAGTTTCCAGTAGAACTTATAAAGAAAAAGAGAAAAAATTTTGAAACTCATTAAAATTACCCAATAAAATTTTGTTGTGGTTTGTTGTCACCTCACGAAAAGCCAACGATTGTAGAATATGCTCATTGAGCGGTCACAATTGATCGCAAATAAAACAGAAAGATTGCAACTGTAGAGAAAGATTCACAGGCTTCTTCTGGATTTATTCTGTACGATGTATAATTATGTATTTTGTTTGTTCTATTCTAATTCTCACCGGTAATAAATTATTTAGGGAAATATGAATTACAAATACGGCGGGTATTAACTCATAAATGGCCTCCTACATTGCGAGACCGCCAGTCTGGAAATTCTACCGAATTCTGCGAGACTGACTGTTCTGGGAAAGCCGGGTCAAATTCATGTAACAGAATGCTTGTTTGGAGGCATTTGTTCGTTTTATTTTGTTCTACCCTCACTTTCGACGTGTTTGGACAAAGCAGCAGTAAATCGCCTAAGGCCACAATGCCGACAGAAACTACAATAACCGAGGTTACACAAAGCAGCACTAAATTGTCTAACGCCACAACACCGAAAGAAGTTACAACAACTGAGGTTACACAAAGCAGCACTAAATTGCCTAACGCCACCTCCATCTCAGAGCTGACAGAAGCTACAACAACCGTTTCCGACGAGGATCATAGTCACAGCAATATAGACGGGAGGGATTTCCGTTATACTTCCACATTCGAAAAAAGTTTACCCTTCTTCTCGAACGGGCTCATCGCTCGGCTGAGAGCTTGGAATAAAGTTCTAAACAATGCAACTACTCAGTGTGAAAAGCTGACTGATAGTGGAACACCCATTGCGGAATACCTTGAAATTGAATTCGTGGACTTTCGAGCCCGCTACGTGGATGCTAAGGACGATTCTGATAATGAATTTTTGACTCTTGAAACTTTTCATCCTGTGCTCATGCGCCAGCAGAAAGACCATGATCTGGTTTCTGTTGCGTATATGTCCATCTTGGAACTGTGGCCTCTCTTAGTTTTGTGTTTTTCGTGCGCAGCTTTATCAGGAATGATCATCTGGCTTTTGGTATGTATGGTAATTCACATTTTGAGCGCAAGAAAACTGAATCGGAAACGCGTGATCAGGGCGGACAAATTCTTTTGTATAAATTGCAAAAACAAATGTTTTCAAAAAGATGACATGGGCAGCTTTAAGTGTCAATGTTTTTAACGAAATAAGCATGGGTAAGCAGTCTTAGATGTGTTAAATAAAGAAATATCAAATATAAAATTATTCGAGCAATGAAAAACGTGGATAAGACGACGAAAAAATCGTAACCGTTTACTATCAAAACCACTGACTAATTGTCCTTTTAACTTTTTTTCGTTCAAGGATCATCGATCGAATCCGGAGACTTTCTCCAGGCGATTCTGGAAGGGCTTTGGAGACGGAATGTGGTGGGCGATAGTTACCATGACAACAGTGGGGTAAGTTTGCCGACCAGGATAGAATTTTCCAAATGTGATTTTATGGGGATTGTTTCTTTCCTAAACCGTTAGGAGTGCTAGTAATAATGTTGGCCGCTAACCCTTAGCCCTTGGCTAGAGGATGAGTTTATTATCTGGTAATAAAGTTAGGAATGACACATGTCTATACCTGGTGACTGATTTGATCATCTGTTCTTCGGCTCTATAATTCAGTGTTCTTTTTCTAGAATGCTAATGACGGAATGGGCAAATGCAAATTCAGAAAGCGATTGCTGTATGCCTCGTCCGGCTATGGGCTTCGCCGTAATATATTTCAAAGAGACTCCAGAGCAGATTCTTAAGCCAAACTCTATAATTTATAAAGGAAGAAATGAAAATAAAAAAAAAAAACGTATTTCCTTTCTAACATCAACTTCGCAAAAAGAAACCTTTCGAAAATTTTCAAGATATTTTGGTTCAAACGTAAATTGGCCACCGTAAAGAGATCTAAAGCTGTCTTTTCGAGCTATAGCCTTTCGTCGAACTGAATCGGAAATTGGTTGCTAAGTTTAATGATTAAACAATCTATTTTCATCATAGTCAAGGCAAAACATCCCTTTCATTAAGAGATCTTTCAGCATTCGTCTCCTGTACTGTATCATTCATCCTTGTAAACTAGGTATGGTGACAAAGCTCCAAAGTCCTGGTTAGCTCGTCTCTTTGGTATTGTGTGGATGATAGCAGGAATAGTTTTATTGTCCATGTTCACGGCTCAAGTGTCGTCTCGCTTGACAGCTCAGGAGCTAAAGAGCGAAGACTATTTGTTTAACAAAAAGGTAAATTATGGAAGGATCAATAACCTAATGCTAATATCATAATCGCTGCTGCTATTGCTACTACATTACTTCTACTACTAGTACTACTACTACTACTACTATATATTACTATACCTGCTCCCCTTTCCCATGAATAAGGCCAACGTCTTCAAAGTGGTCAAAAATTATCATTGAGGTCTCTTAGTGAGAACAGTTGACCGTAATCTGCCAATCTTTCTCTGTACTTCGTGTTTCTTCCTTTTATTTATTTTTTAGGAAAGGAATGTCTAAAATTTTTGACAACTCGCGTTTTGAGAGCGGTACCCCGTCGTTTCTAATAAAGGATGCGATAATGTGTGCGGCATGTTCTAAAGTCGGTTCTGTAATTCCAATTGTAACTGAGTACGTATGACATGTTGAAAATAAGAAATGTCGAAATATAAACGAGTGGGCGTTTTCATTAATTGCATAAAGTTTTTCCTTTAACTGCATCTGCCGCTGTCAAAAACAAAAGAAAATTCGTGTATTGGGCTATATGTCGGAGCCGTCATCATTTAAAATTTATTGTAGAATATTGACAATCTAGCCAAGATGCTTATTTGCAATCCATTAGCCCTCAAAGCCTTGGGGTGAGCAGAGAACGGATAATTTTCGGCAGCTGAAAGACGTTAATAAGTGAATGCATTGCATGTTAGCGGTATGAATGAATAGACACGTGACATTGATGCATGAGTCTAAGAAAAAGACTCGTTACAAAAATGTACGTGTATCTACAATAGCCATTAGCTGAAAAAAAAAATGTATTTAAAAGAGTATATAAAAAAGACTTACGAAATATTTAAAACCATTTATACCATCAGCTACATAATAATCTAGTCAGAGTACGAATCACAAGTCAATGAACTTAACTTAAATTTCCTAAGTTGAGTAAGAGAATTAAG